CGTGCAGTCTGCCTGGTCAGCACAACCATCTCTCCCAAGCAACCCCCCTGCCAGAACGGCTTACAGCTCTCTGCAGGAAGCAGCCTGTCGTGGCACAGAGGAGCAGTGCAGGCCTCCTCCTTCTGCAGCTCTCTTACAGCCTTACAGAACCGAGCACAAGGAACGCAGTGCTGTTTTGTACATACCTTGGACACAGCCTGCCTCATCACTGTTGTCAGGACAGTCGTGCACTTTGTCACACTGCTTTGCTCCATGGATGCAGGTCCCATCCCCGCACTGGAATTCATCCGGTCTGCAGGTCACCAGAGCTTTAAAAAAACACACGTGTTATCCGCACAGCACTCGAACTTTCTGTGTGCTACTTTTTATCTGACACTGCAGGAGCTTTGTGCCCTCCTTCCTTCCAGATCAACTGCTTCCACCAAAGCAACAGGCAGCAGCTACCTCAGGCACCGCCCTGTGCCCCCCAACATTCTTGACCACCCTCTACCATCCTTGTATTTTAAGATACATTTTGAAGCACGTTCAGCCTAAGGTCAAAGGCAAGATACATGTGTGCTGCATCTGCTACAGCCAATGTGGTCACACCAGGGATGAAACGAGAGACAGACATGGTCATGTGGGTCAGTGACTGCCCGTGAGCTAACCACAGAGCCTGGAAGCACAAGAGCTCCACTGCCCCACGGCTTGGTGCTTCTTGGGTTTACAGGCCAGAAACATCTCCATGGTGTCAGGTCAGATTTCAAGCCTGATGCTCATTTGCCCTGTTGCTGTTATTACAGACTCAAAACAGATCTGATGAACAGCAAAGTTGGGGAAAAAATAGATCAGACTGCTGCTCTGATCATGCCAAAAGCAGCCACATTTGCCTCCTCAAGGTTACACTGAGACCTTCCCAGATGGGATCTGACTTGCACTGACAGAGCCAACAGGCACTGGCTAGCCAGCAAAGGGCTGCAGCCTACAGCTCACTGGTAAAAATAGGCTCCTCGTTCCTGAGGCACGTTATGCGGCTTATTTCTAAGGGAACTATCTTCCAGATGTTTTGTTAAAATCCTGTTAAGGCAGCACACCCTGGAGAGCTCTTGATTCTAACCTTTCCATCTTGCTGATTGCAGCCTGGTACCATATGACAGAAAATCACTGCCTCTGAATAGCTGGAGGAGGTCAGCACTGATGTTACTACACGGGAGGCGAGAGCCACGTGGCAGACTTTCCTTGACAATTTGACAAACTGGTTCTAATACAGAAATTACTACTTTCAGATAACCCAAGAAGAGCCACAGATTCAAACTGGGTTAGTGTCAATATCATGAAGTATTAGTATGCCTAAAGGCTCAGCGTTATTGGTGATAGCATCCCATGGGATGCAGGATCCAGATTCACAACTGCTGGACTAAGCCCTAAGTGCCTGCAGCCATTGAAGGGTGTGAAAGATAGGAAAGGCTGCAACTGCAGTGCTGGTGTGGGAGGGGAGAAATCCTGCCTTAGAAACACATAGTATTCACAGGAGAAAGGTTAGGAAATAGCACTGCTCCGTGGAAAGGAAAGCCATATGGACTACAGTCAGAAAGAGCCGCAAAGCAAAAATAAAATTGCATGCAATAAGATCAGTTATGGGACCAGCTGTGTCATAGTGTTTCTGCTAACAAACCCAGATACAGAAATGCAAAACCTCAGCAGGATATCCAGCAACTCCAAACCAAGCACCTGGGAACTGCTTCTCTAATGAAGGAGAGGAGGAAGTGAAACCGTGGTCTGGGAGAACGACAGACCTCAGCTCTGGAGGTGGCACTGAGGTCCCACAGTGAGGCTGAGGCACTTCAGTCTGAACCATTCATTTCCCTGGCAGAAACCCTGACGGTGGAGAGACTGCTTTCCCTGTAATGTAATCCCAGCTTCTTCCAAGCTAAACCTCGGCCGCTGCAAACCTTTCCCTAACGCCTCACATTTCCTAGCTACCATTACTTCTGATCTTTCACCTCCCAACATGGAAAAGTTCACCCTTTCTGTAGCAACTTCCGTTCTGTGGAGAAAGGATGGGATGGTCCTCTATTTCTGACAACAGGTGTTAATTTTCTGCAAACAAGCTGCATGCAATTAAAGCTACCAGGAGTCTGGTCTGTCCTAGGGCAGAAGCAAGTTTCCAGTTTACAAAGTAAATCTGCAAGACAGTGGCTGCAGATTGGAGAGGCTCAGGTGGTAAAGGACTGCAAAACACAGATGTGGGACTGTACAACCTCTGCACAAAGCTTTCTTCATGAAGAGTCAGAGGACTGGAGACCAGGCTTAGTTTCCTGGCTTCCTTCTCAGTCCAGCAGAACTGTGGAAGTTCAGACCTTTGAGAAATGGCCCTTGAGCCTCTTGATGAACATCCGAAAAGAGCAGATACAGCAACAGCTCTTACTGATCACAAAGGTATTAGAATGAATATACAGCATTTCTATACTTTGGTGAATTTCTCAACAGGAGAGGGGAGACTGTGATGTTTATACTTAATCTGGAGAACGTACACAGAGGGCCAGGAACCTTATTATCCTGAAGCTGGAAGACAAACCCATCTCAGCACCATAGGCATGGCTGACAGCAGGTCACTACTGTCCAAAGCAATGTCCCAAGCACAGACATGAGCTGCACAGTTCAGTTGCACAAGTTCAGAAAACTGCTGTGCTATTTTAGAGGGTTTAAATCAGTGACATCTCAGCAGTTTTATAGTCACCTTCGCAGCTCTGCAAATTAAATATGAAATAGTTTACCATAGCTGTTAAATTAACTGGTACACTCAAACAGTCACACTTCATTTGCAAATATTGGGCACAAAGTTTTACTGCTCAAATTCAGCAGATATATTCCAAATTCCAAGTCTGAGCCTCTATTTCTTCTGTCTTTTGCTTCTTTCCCCCCAGAAAGTCAACTGAAGCTCAAGAAAACTCCAGCATTTGCAAAACACATCAGTCCTATTTTAGTGATGGGGAAACACAGGCAGGAAAGTGTGAGGTCAGAGATGTGTTTTCTAGCTGCCAGGTACTGGCGTTATTTATCCTCCTTCCTGGGTTGCAGAGGATATTTTAAAATCTAACCATTTTGAGAACAATAAATCTAACCTAATGTCCATTTTATATACATGTGCATATGTACACACTATATTGACACATACAAGCTAGGGAAAAAGCAACCATCCAACGTTCTCACACAGCTTCCCTGAAATGACTTCTTCCTTCCTATTTATTTGCTGGCTTCGCTGCCAAAACCTGTTCACCAGCTGTCACCCTTCATTCCTGCTCTACTCGTTTATCATCTCAAAATAATTATAACAAATATCTGGTGATGGCCTCATGACATTTTTTTTTTTAAAGCATTAACTCCCATCCTTCTGTTTTATACAATGCAAAAACCCTAAGAGAAGGCACAGTGCTGGCGGCCTCAGTTCTAATCAAGTCAAAGCCAGCAGTGTTTGTGCCATTGCTGTTGTGAAGGGAATGGAGTGCTGTCACACAGCTGTACCTCCCTGCATGCCACGCAATGCTGATCTCAAAAAAAGGAGGTTCTGGAGGTGAGAAAATAATAATAATAAAGGCCAATCCATAAACTCTTCAGTAGAACAAAGGAACAGTGATGCACTCAAATACCATTTTCTTACCACAGGCATGTGCACCCAAGCTACAGCTTTAGTTAGGATGGGGAAGCAACATCATTTTTGCCTCTGACCCAGTGGACTCATGGGCTGCATCTGCATTCAGTGCCATGGGTTCTCTGCTGGCTGCTGACCCAGAGATCCCCTACCTGCAGTGTAAGCGGTGACAGGCCTTGCAGCTCAGTGGCACAAAATCCCAAACTTACACAGGTGCAAAGCAGACAATCCTATACAAAGGAGCATGTCAGGAACTAAAACGTGGGGCTCTGGAGTCCCACCATTTCTTCACTTCCTGGATTGAGAGCAGCAAAAGTAGCACACGTCTGTTCCTCCCGGGTAGATAAGCTGCATAATGTGCTGTACTGAGAGTTAGCAGTGCCCTCGGGCACTGAATCTCCTCTAGTCAGGGATATAATGGTCTCAAGATTTCTCCCCTCTTCAGCCACATTTCCTCTTTCCTCCACTGGTTGTCAGCACTGTGCTGTGCTGCAGCCCTGTCTGCCTGTGTCCTCTGCCCCACAGAGCCTGCCCTGGGGAAAGTGGAGGTTTTCCTTGGTGAAGCTGCTCTGTAACAGGGCTGCTGTCACCGCTCTGCTCCTCCTGGGTCCCCTGTCTCAGCAGACCCAGCTCAGCTGGGCACCTGCTGGAGTCTGTCAGGCCTTACTGCCTCCACCTCTTGCTAAAGGAATCACCAAATTTGCATCTCTGCCCCAAATAGCATCTGATTGTTCCTCTCCTTGAAGGACTCTCCCATGCAAGCTGCTCTGAGGTCACCAGCTGGGACTCAGTGCTGTCCTGGTTATGGAAAGATGGTGCTGGAGAAGTTGGACATTTTCACACATACCTTTGTAAAAATGTCTGCTTTCTGCAGCTGGTTGCTGCCTTCTTCCCAGAGGTGGTCCAATGTCAGAGCTGCTAAATATATGTAGCTATGTAAATATTTTATTTTATTCCAATCTTGTGATTATGAATATTTAAGCAAAACATTTTGCTCTTATTTTCTTGCCATCTCCCTCTTCAGATAAGTGACCAGCTTGAAAAGTTTAGTGGCTAAAATTGGATGAAGCATTCAAAATACTGTGCACACCAACAACACCATGTTAAATGCATCAAGCCAGCTGAAAAGAAATCCATTATTTATTAGTTCTGTGCCTGTAACAGCCAAGCTCAAAGTGCATTTCAAGCTGGATTATTCAGAGGTGCTGCCTTGCTTGGTATACTCAAACTTCAGAGGTAGAAAATTAATTTTTTTTTTTTTCTGCTGATCACATATTCCCTTTAGCACTGTGGCTTCTAACCTGCAGGCTGTGACCCCACCGTGCAGCCTGAGGGCTTTAAAAATGTTTTCCATTTTCTCCATTTCTAGTGAAACAGACCTTCTCTGAGGCAGAGTCCCATTCAACAGCTCTTGTAGCCCCTCTGTGAATCCTGACAGAACAACAAAACAGGAGTCTGGAATACACCTAATGCTCCTGGGCCGAGCACCCAGCCATGCCTTGGGGCACAAATGCTCCTTGGCAGACAGGTGCTGCGCAGACAACTTGCAACAAAACCCTGCCTGAAAACACAACCCAGAGGGGCTGCCCTCCCCACCAAAGGAGAATCCCCAGCCCTGCCCACACTCACGGCAGTCCTGCTCATCAGACTTGTCCTTGCAGTCTTCGTCCCCATCACACTTCCAGTTAAGGAGGATGCACTCGCCATTGCCACACTGGAACTCGTGAGCAGCACAGGTGTTGAAGGCCTTGGCATCATAGCCACACCTCTCTATGGACTCATCCGAATGGTCCTCACAGTCTGCCTGGTTGTCACAGACCCACAGCTCTGGGATGCACACGCTGTTGTTGCACTGGAACTCATTGGGGCTGCAGGTCAGAGGGGAGCATTTCCTTTCATCGCTGCCATCACCACAGTTGTTGTAACCATCACACACGAAGTTGATGGAGATGCACGTCTTGTTACTGCACTGGAACTCATCGGGAGAACAAGCTTGGGGAAAAAAAAAACAAACAGGTGAGCTGTGAGGTCTCCTATCTACTCCCCTGCCACTACACTTGGCTTTAGCACATCACATGTACCTGAGTCAGGGGGAGGGAGAGGGCACAAATGTACTACCTTGGCTGTCCTAACCCAAAACTGCTTTCCCAGTGGTAAACCACATAGCAAGGAACAGGCGAAGATGCACGGGACACCTCCACTGCCATGATATGGAGCACACCTTGCCCTCAGCACTGCCAGGAGCAAGCTCACCCAAGCTAGAAGCCCAGCTCAGGCTCTCCCACCACCCCTCTGGGCCACGGGCAGCCCTGCAGGAGAACGGGCAGCTGGTAAAATGGGGGGCAAGCGCATCACTGCCCTGTCCTTTTGTATAAGGAAACACAGGAAGGGCTGGAGGAGCAGTGGTGGGCGCTGGGGGCTCACACAGAGCTGAGCTTTGCTCCATGCTGACATTAGCAGCTTCCTGGCTTTCACAAACACAGAATCAGGTTTGAGGATTTCACAGTGTGCCTGGTTTTGGACATATTAAGTGGGATGTGTAGGGTAAATATTTAGTGAGGCGAGCATCAATTTAGCTGCAATCTGCCAGCAAGGCCCTTTACAACACACTGAAAGCCTTCCCTGGAAATCACAACTCAACATTAGCACACAAATGAGACATTTGTCAGATATGAAGCTGAGTGGTGTATCCTGCTTGCAAGCCTGATGGACAGCTGCACCAGAGAAGCCTGCTAAAATTAAAATTTCAGGTACTCCAACAATGTGCACTTGGCAGCCACTTTGTCTCATCAAGTTATGGGGGAACCAAGACTCTGAAATAAATTTGCTCTAAGTGCTTTTAATTAAAGCTAATTTCGTCAGTTATTTTAAAAAAATTGAATATGTATCTGCTTCTACCCTTCCGGGCACATATTGAAAAGTTACGCATTTTGTAAATTACAATAAATATATATAAATAAATTACAATAAATTAAATACTTTCTCTAATTGCACTTGGGAGCCTTTTTGCCTTCAGTAGCTTCAAGCCCGATCTCCATCCAACACGGATAAGTGTTAAAGAGAATCTCAGCTGTGCTATGCTATGTCCAGCTTTCCATCAGTAACAACATGCAGTGGTGTGTGGTCAGCAAAGGAACATCCAAGTTCTGCCTGGTGCAGGCAGGACATCCTAGAGAGGAAGGAGAGTGGGTATTTTTGGGCATAGGGAGGGGCTAACCTGTCTCCTTCTCCAGGCAACGAGGAACTGAGATCAGACACCTAACATACTTTTCTATCCTTAATCCATAACCAGAAATAAAATGAGTTGCTAATCCTACTAATCAGCACATGGCTGTATGATCTCTTCAAGTGACGAATAAGATGGAGCTACCAAACAGAAATTTGAGGTAAGAGTTAAAATCTTAACAATCTATTTGAAGAAGGAAGTGATGGATGGGAATATTTCTAAGGCTATGCACAGTTCCTGTAACAGATCAAGGCTGGGAAGTAGAAATTGCTTTTCCTGGCATTATTTTGATCAATCTCAGAAACACTGTAAGCAAAATTTTCCACAGTCCTTTGATCCCCAATTTTTGGGCAAGGTTATAAGGATTTGCATGTTCCAAATATGCATTAATTTCCATTCTCACCATCTTTTTTCCTACATTGTTTTCCTGCTCCCACCTCCAACACTCCTTCTGCCCGCATGCATTTCCCTCTAGAAAGAGGTGGATAAACCTCTGTGTGGGATTCACACAATGGAATTCTGCACAAAAGCTTCTCCTCTGCACCTACAAATCCCACTACTGGTATAAAACTACTGACAGTCACAGCCAGAAAAAAAGTAGAAGCAATTCACCTTTTGTAACCTCTCATGAGCAGACTTTTCAGTTAAGTTTGTGAATCTCTAGCAGGAATTAACTGCATTGTCACAGTTATTTTATTTCTTCTAAAAAATTAAATTTGGTGAGCTGACAGCACTAGAGCCATTTCTGCCTCCATGGACCAAGCACAGCCCATTGCTGCTGCTGCCTTCCCCCTTCCCAACCTCGTGGGCCTAAGGTGGGGCTCCACCTCCATGACTCACTATGGGGAAGCTCTCTGTCTTCCCAAAGCACTACAGGCTGTTCCAGGCACCTCCTGGTTAACTCAAGAAATACAAATACCTTCTCCTTCACTTACAGGCCTAATGGTCTTCAAGCCAACTGCCTCACAAGTGCTTGGAGCAGAGACCTCTGTCCCAGCTGGCTCTCCTATGAGCCACAGGAAGGCAGATTCTCTCCCAGTTCCACTCACCCTTTTGCCATCTTCTCTGACAGCTAAAATCCACAGGGCATGCAAGGATAAAGCAAAGTCTGCAGCTTCCAGGCACTTGGGGACTCGCTCCAGCACAAACGGGCAGCAGAAGAGGAAAGCTGCTTACAATCCCTGCACACCAATGCAAGAGCCAACGTGCTCGTGTTCCTTGGGACCTCCTCTGCACGGTCTGAAGAACCTAATAAAAAGCAGTGCTACAAATTACCTTAGATGGGCAGCTGGAGAGATGAGGATGGGGGAAGTAAAGTCCCAGGGACAGCTTCTTCACATCTCCTTTCATAAATCTGTCAAGGTACCGGGGCAGTCCCATCACTACAGCATTTCACTGCCTCCAGAGCATTTTGATAGAAATGTCTTGAATAATAATTAAATGAGCACCAGGGTATCTTTTCTTTGACGTGAGCAATTTGCTTATATTGTCTGGTTCTGCTACCTGTTCTATTAAGAGTGTGTCTGTATGAAACAAAGGATACAAATATTAGCCTTCCTCGCTGCCAAAGAAATTAATGAATGTCATACTCTCAGATGCAAAGTCTCCTTCAAGTATGAAGTGATCCCAGTAGAAATATTGGAAACGTTTGTCAAGAAGAGTTTAATCCACTGGCTTCAAAGCAGTAAATAAGCATAATTACAAAAGCCGTTTGGTAGGATACTGTAATCCACTGAGATTCTGCAGGTGATTTAGGAAGAAAACACCACATCTAAATGGCAACGTAGACTTGCTTTGGCTTATAGAGAATGCACAGCAGAAGTGCTCTGCATTAATTGCTGCCTTGTGCTGCAGTACAACTGGCACAGTTTTTGCTGGGCAGCCCCCAGCTGCAGCCCTGTCACATCTCCTGGAGAGTGGAGCAGCAGCAGCCTTTGGGTGCAGGAAGAAAAGAGACTGTGGTTGTGCAGTTGTGTTCTGGTTCTCTGCCCTGAGCCAGGATTTAAGCAGAGGCTTTAATGAGCACTCCAGTATAGCAGCGACAATCTTAGCTCACCAAAAAATGGAGATAACTCTATAAAAAGCTTTTAAAGTGCTTACAAAGAAAAGTAAAATGCTGTAAAGACACAGGGCACACTTTAAGAACTGTAATTTCAAATATATCTCTGTAATTCTACAAAGCACGGATCCTCAAATCTGGATAAAACTCAATGTGTGATATAAGCAGGATATCCATCATTAGTAGGAGCTGGGAATGGTGTACAATGGACTACAACTGCTTCCACTGCTAGCTTAAATTAAAGATTTGTAGCTTTTCAGTAAGAATCTGATATTTTAATACATCTTTTTTTGTTGAAAAACAACTCAGCTCCTCCTGAAATTATATGCATGACTTGGAGAAAGAGAACTATTTGGTAAAGCTGGTGGCTAAGTGGATGACAGCAATTACTGATGCCAAAGAGAAGAAAATAAGACAAACGATGGCACTGCAGCTTTCCCACACCCTTCCTGAGGCAACCAAAAAGAAACACGGTTCAACATTTCTTGTTTGCTTAAATCCAACAGCGGATTTTCTCAGGAAGGCCAGGGGTGATTTGCACACACTAACATTCGCAGTGGGGAAAGAGAGATCTGCTGCTGATTTATCACAACTTGAACACTGGCCAGAGAGGCTGTGGACTTGGAAAGCCTTAAGCAGTGAGGTTTAGAAGTGAGCTCCACACGGCTGCAGCAGCGCAGTGCCTGAGCTCCATGTGCCCAGGTACTGTGCATAAAGAGCTAATCCTGCCACCACAGCCCACATACATTAATCTCCAAGCAGGACTGAGATAAGGAGGTCACGGAGTCCAGACAGGCTGAATTAAGTTGGAACTCCCAGCCCAGCTACCAACGCTGTCATTGCGTTAGTCTGACTGAACTGGGATTTATTCTCAAGCTTCCTTGTACCCATATTGTTTGCTTTGTCTGCTGAAATCAGCGCGGTTACCGAGTACCTGAATGTCTGATACAGATCTCTGGTCAAATGTCAGTGTCTAAAGCATGGGTTCATCCCTGGAAGGCCAAGTTTCCCACAGAAAGCCGCCCTCCAGGAAAGGCAAGGACAGACAGCAGTAAATGAAGACGACCTTGAAGCGCATTGCTAGAAGAGCTGACAGGCCTCCCATGGAGGGAATAAAGCGGCTGAACTGCAGTCTCACTGCTAACGGTGGTTGTTGCTATGGTGATTGATACG